ATGATATTTCTCAATTATGGCTCCTAGATGCATTACATGGAGATTAAATCATTTAAAAATATTGCACGTTCTAGAGTTTCAGAAGAGATCTCAATAATGTTTCAAGCTATGCTCAGATTTATCTTAATATGAACTTAATAGTCCAAAGACCAAATGATCAGATCCAATGCTATCTGCATTAATTTTACAACTTATGTTATGGAAGCCCATTTCTGCATATTAAAAAACATCTTGCATCTGCGTGCTTGTTTCCCTATATGTTTTATACTAAACAATGTTCTTACAGAAGTTAAAATTATGACATACTAGTCATTATTAGATAAAGTTATAATCATGACATAAAAAATTATGGTACTCATAATTATGAGATGAAAAGCCAAAAACCTTTTATCTCATTTTTTTTATGTCATAATGTTTATATGTCTTATGTCATAATTAAGTCATAGTCAATATTATGTGTCATAATTATGCGATAAAAAGTTAACATTATGGCAAAGTCATAATTATTATGACATATACTGTAGGTCATAACTGCCATTATGAAAATCCAATCTCATGATTTTGACATTTTATGTTAATGCTATTTTTTAGCATTAACATAAAAGCATATGTTTTATGCTATTATGTCATAATTATGATCATTATTTTCCGTATGTGGCGGAAATATACCTCCATAGTATGTTACTCATTTGTTTCTATTTTTATTTCTTAGGAGAAACATCTTAGACAACTGAGACATAACTGAGAACTCTAAGTTTCCTGAGTAATGAAAAAATCTCACCAATAATTTTCCACTGGGCAGCCCTTACTCCTCAGTTTAGCCACTCATTGGAAATGTACATTATGAGGACGGAGTCTCCCAATAAAGTGCTGTCATGCATGTATTTTTAAGTCTGACGTAAGTCAAAGAGTCGAAGAGGCATGGGAGACTTTTAATACAAGTCTCTCAGTCTGTCATTATGAAACTGGAAACCACCTATCAGAGACCGCTCGTTTCCTTTTGCCAGTCATTTTCAAAACTACACACAGTTATAGCAATGGGTGGCCATGACGGCGTCATCACACTTTCTAGACCTATCAGAGATGGAAATAGTGTGTGTAAAAAGCATTCGTGTAAATAACAAATTCATGCATTTTTTGCAGGCTGGCACAGTGTTTTCTTAAAATAAAGGTATTGTAGATAATGAATTGTGAAGCTTACCTGAATTATGAAAAACATTAGTAATCTTCCTTCACCAGCTGACAGTGATAAATCTGGGGTGTTTGGCATATACATCATTGATCAATTTTTCATCAGGTTAACAATACAGAAATGTGAGGTACTACTTTTAACGCCCACTAAGTGGCAGTCTGAATCAGTGACTCTAATCACTATACATTTACATGTATGTATAGGCAGACACTTTTATCCAAAGCGACTTACAGTGCATTCAAGGCATGCATTTTTTATTTATTTTTTATCAGTGCATGCATTCCTTGGGAATCAAACCCATTACATTGGCGCTGCTAGTGCCATGCTTTACTGTTTGTGCAACAGAAATGCCTGAAAGTTATATAAAAAGTTTCTGCACTATATAAATAATAGAATATAAATGTTTTTGCACTTCTTCAATAATAAACAAAGTGAAGGCAGTGAGTTTGCAGATTAAAAAAAACTGTGCAGATGTGCAACTCAAAAGGGTAACATTCATTAAGAAATGTCTCTATATGTAACATAGGCTTTATTCAAGCTGTGAAAACTAGCCTATTCAAGCTGCCTATACAAAATGTATCTTCTAGTTTATGCTTTTAGGAAGGTTTTGTTTCAGATTGAATCTAATAAAAAAAACATGCAAGTGGTGATCATTTGCATGAAAGAACTGCAAGCAGCTGCTTAAGTCGTAGCTGGACATCGCTGTGTGCGCATTCGTAGAAAACTATGGTTTATGGGGGGGGACAGTATAGTTGCTTAGTTGACTACCACAAAAGAACATCTCAGCCTGCGTTCAAAAACTATTTTTAACAGACTAAAAGTGCAGCCACCTTTATTTTGTGGTCAAAAACTGTCCATTGTCTATTAGTTCAGCAATGCATAAAGCACAGCTCCCAGGAGTCACTTTCAAAGCAAACTGTTCTGTGCAAATTTGTGTGATGAACTTGAATTAGTTGTGAAATCTGCATGGGGAAATCTTTGCTCTCATGCGAAATTCCAGATTCCTATTGAAATAACGGCTTTCCCCTGTGAAAATTCACAGAACAATGTTAAATTAAATGAATGCATCCTTAAATTATTTTTCTGTGCTCTTATTGTATCTTTCTGTCTTTCTACTGAAAAAAATGGTGTTGGATTTACTTTGAAACAATGATCATTTAGAAACTGTTAGTAAATTTCATAAATAATTACAAAGAAATGACAAGTAACACATTGAATTAAATGTGAAACTTACTCCTATAATCGTTTTATTTACAACTTCAAAAATCATATTGACCTTTTTTTTCCCCAGAGGAATCTAAAGAGGAAACATCTGAGACAGTTGAAGCCTCCATTCATTTTGCATAATGGTTCCCAAGGTTGCTCTTTTTTATTTCTTGGATTTCCGTGCCAGTATAACTCAATTTCTCAATCCAAGCCAAATATTTGCAGTGTGGCCAACATTTCCACACTGAGCTGCGTGCAGGTTGGCGGCATGGGCACTTCTGCATTCCTCTGACACACAGAGTTATGGGCCGAAGAGATGACTGACAGCTGAGCTTTGCCATACGTCCTTGCCATGATACCGTGCTGTTGTAACCTTCTTGTAAGACTTTGCTCTTGTCTTTCATGAATGACTTGTGTTTCACTCTCTAAATTTTACAGGAAAATGCTTTTAATGAGATAGTACACTTAAAAATATACATTTTGCCAACTTTACTCACCCTCATGTTGCTGCAAATGCTATATTTTTTCTTTCTTCCAGCAGCTATAAATTTCTGCAAAAAGATGGAAAGATGGATGTTTTTGAACAAATAAGTTGTGGAAATGACTCAATGATTCTTTCATAATAACAGTCACTTTTTAACTAATTGGTTAAGTGAATGACTCAGTGACTCACTCATAAAATAATAAATGAATCAGTGTTGTTCAATGACTCACTCATAAAAACAGTCACTTCTCACCAATTACTGGTATAACAATGAAACCTGGAGAAAGAATAACAAAAGTTTTATTGTGTATATATAAAAGTTTAATATAAGTTTGAATGACTTGCTCATAAAGTAATGAATGAATCAGTGTTGTTGAATGAATCAGTTGAAATGCATTATAATATTTGAAGGTTTGTTTGCCAAGTATTTTAATGCATTATACTTTCTAAAAGTGTAACAATAAAAAATATTATAACTGTAGTTACAATTATTCACAAGATCATACAATGCATTATCATGTATCTTACAAAGCATAATTCATGCATTAAAACTTCTTTCATAATATTTTAAGGCTTTAAGTGTTACCAGTTTTCTAAGAGAATTTTAATGAGAATAATAACAATCCACAAATAAAACTTTAAAGGGGTCCTATTATGCTTTTTCACTTTTTGAATTTTAGTCAGTGTGTAGTGTGTATGTTTGGGCATAAAAAAAGATTAAGAAGAAACTTACAAATCTTAAAGTCCACCCCAAAGGGAGATATTTTGTTTTTAAAAAATCACTTTTCAAGAACTACAACGAACGGCTCGTTTGGACTACAGCGTTTGTTTTCCAGGCTTTGTGATATCACAAAGCGGCCCATTAGAATATCATTAAAATAATTCCCGCCTATGGAAATTCGAATGGTTGGGGCATGGGGAGGAGCGAGGTCGTGGTTAGAACGCTTGGTTGAGTGCATCAGACAAGACGACGACGAAGAAGTGCTGCTGTAGCCTTAAGTTTTCGCAAGTTATTACACATGCACCTGAATAATTATGTATGTAAATATGTATGTTACAATTATGAAAACGTTATAATAAATTGCTGACCGTACAATACTGAAACGTGATTTAGACAAAAAAAAACAACAACAACAATGTTACTACTCTAATATGTCTTGCAATATCTGTGCGTGCAAAGGTTCTGCGCGATCCTTTTGTTCAATATTCTCTGGGTCTAAATCCGGCTCAAATTGATATGGCAATATTGACGCCATCCTTAACTAAACTGGAGCAGACGGAAATTGCTGCTTTGGCAAGGGGCGGGGCAGTACTGAAACACCGTCTAAGCTGTTCGCCAATCACAACGCACTGGGACAAGCTAGCCAATCACATCACATTTCATTTTTCGGAAGGCGGGCCTTCATCAAACCCAGAGCTAATCGAGCTGTTTGTGCCAGGATGGGGAGAAAGGTATTGTAATAATGTAAATTATGTAAAAAAAAGAATGCATTTTTCGAACCAGCAAGCATAAGAGCATGTTCTAGTACACCCCCAAAACAAATTCAAGACATTGTAAAAGAGCATAATAGGACCCCTTTAAATACATAAAAAATATACAACCAGACACATTGTGATAATGAAAAAAGTTGCAAAAGCACATTTCTTTATTCAATACACACACACACACACTCACATATGCATATGTGTGTGTGTGTATAGATAGATACTATAGATACTACAGATTTAGATTTTAGATTGTATCCACAAAGAACTGATTTCTTTCAGAGCTAAAAGTCTTTGTTGGCCTTCACAGGTGCTTGAATAGTTCTTCTTTCCTTGAAGAAAACCTTAAAGCAGATGCCTTCAAATAGTATGATAGGCCAAGAGAAGATGGGCCTCAAAGGCCTGTACATATGACAGTTTTCTGCATATCTAAGATACAGTGTTCTTTAAGTTCCTAATTGTACAACCAAAATAAACCATCTTCGGTCCATAAAATAAGGTGCTTTATAGCAACCCAGCGGTATTTTCCATCATGAAGTAGGTCATGCGACAGGTGAGAGGGACTCTGTTTGTTTGCTGGCGGTCGGTGGCCATCTTTTCCACGTAATTAGATGACTTCTATTCCAGACATACAGCTGGCCTTCACAGAGGCCGCCTGTGTCTCTGTGTTGATGTGGACCTACTGCATCTTCACCGCGACCCAAAACGGGACTCAGAGCTTCCTGTGTTGAGAGACTTGTCTGGTCTCCTGGAGAGAGAGAGAGAACGAGCGAGCAAGAGAGAGAGTGCTGTAAATCTGGAAATGTTGAGGATAGTTTGGGAAACACCTCAGTCGACGCCCTGCAAGTTTGATTCACACAGCTGTGTCATAAATGTGGCATGAAAAGCATCACGCCACTTCATGTCACCTCTCGACATGTGCATGCCATTTCGTAGCAGTAAAAACAGCTCGGCTGAAATCACATCAATGCATATCATCTTCGAAATATTCGTAAACCATGTCTGAGGTTATTTCCTTTACGCATGTGATGTTTATACACCCTGTTTTGTAAAAGCCAATGTGTGTTGCCCAATTATATCTGAGGAAATGAAAAAACACATCTGCAATTCAACAGGTGCCTCTTGGCATCCAGCATGTTCCATGTCTGGAAAACATCTGCATAGGTGGTCTCTTTCTCTCTCTTTCGTTCCCCAAACTCTTGCTTTTTCTTCTTCTCTCTAGGGTCCGAGTGAAGGGAAGGCTGATTGTAAATACGGTGAGGACCTCAGAGCCAGAGACACAGCCGTATATTTTGGGAGAAGAGAGGCTGGCTTTTACCAGAGCATATTTTTAATCGCACAACGCCAGCATGGATAGGCCAGAGTTGCACAGCTGCTCCTCTAATTTGTTTAAGCATGTACAAATAGGCTGTCCCACACAAGCCAAAAAAAAAAAAAAGGGGGAGAGGAGGTTTTGCTCAACATGGCATTTTTGTCTGACCAGAAGAGAAAACAAAATCAACAGCGATACAGACGGACTGGTCATTTTGAGTGATTTTACAGCAGGTTCCCATCGGATTCATCATATAAAAAATCTTATAGCAGCTTATAACTCGATCTAGAACGATCAAGTGGTGCGCTCCAAATTTGTCAGCGTTAAAAAAGAAATACCATTTGGGAGACCTTGCATGTTTTGAAGCATACCAAAAGGATCGTCTCGATTTCAGCAGATCTTTGGAAGGAACGCAGAGGTCCTGTTGAATGATTCAAGTCATGGAAAAGATATTTATAACAAAGCCGTTCTATGTTCTTTATACTGGGAAGGATTAGAGGACAAATCTGATTTGGCCTATGACTATGAAACTTTATGGGTAGCAGCATCTAACCCTGTAACAGGGTTTCTCTCGTTAACTAAACTAAAACCATTCAAACAATTACTTGAAATAAAACACTTTAACTGAAATTAAAAATAAATAGATTTAAAAAAAAAAAATTATTTTATGTCAGCTAATTGCCAAAAAACATTTAAAATCAATTACAATAAAATTTATATTTCTACTTTTTTAAACTGACAAAAAAAAATACACACATACAAGAACCATATAGAACCAGACAATTTACAATAAACCAGAACATTTATTACATTAAATGTATTAATCTAAAAATAATTTAAAAGAAATATAAATCTTATGGGTAAAAGTCTTGGCCCATCATGTTACTCTTAATGCAAATCATCAATACCCATCCTGTTCTGTAATTCCCATTTCAAACAATCTGTCTCAGATTTGCTATTTCTAAGAAGCTTGAAAACCTCCAATTTAAGGTTTAAGGTTCAAAGTATTGGCCTCCACAGCGCCATTCGTAAGCGTTCAGGAGACCCGATGCATCGTGATACCTGCCCACATGACAGTTGATGTCCAAGAATTATTGGTTTTGGAAACTTACACCCAGTGAGCGAGCTCTCATACACATAATTACGCTCGTTTTAAAAGCAGATTATAGGATTGACGCGTAAATACGAGGTTGCCTGTGACGGCTCTCCAATCCAACATCGAGTAAAGTTAGAAACACGCAATGTAAATGAATAAGCGAATGGAAAAGTCAAAGTGGAAACTCTAAACATTTGCTCTTCTGAAGTCGGAAAACAGGTGCAAACAAGCTTCCCTTTAATCTGACCATCTCTCATTCACTCCGTCATCCCAAACAGAGCGTTCTTTTTTTCCAGTTGTGGGTAACAGAGGGGTATCCCTTGTTCGGGACACTTTTGATTTACTGTTGTATAAAACAGAGAGAGGAAACTATGCGTGTTTGCAAAGGGAAAAGGGGGGGGGGCGGATATAAAAGTCATGTCATGTCATGGGAAAAGCTTAACACTCGCTAAACATGAAGTTTCACCCACTGATAACTCTCTAAACGTCCATTGAGAGTTTTGTACACTCTGGAACAATTTGCACTGGAAATCCCCTGTATGGTCTGGACATTCATGAACATATACAGTGGGGCAAAAAAGTATTTAGTCAGCCACCAATTGTGCAAGTTCTCCCACTTAAAAAGATGAGAGAGGCCTGTAATTTTCATCATAGGTATACCTCAACTATGAGAGACGAAAACCTTGTGAAGACTTACAGAAAACGTTTGACCTCTGTCATTGCCAACAAAGGGTATATAACAAAGTATTGAGATGAAATTTTGTTATTGACCAAATACTTATTTTCCACCATAATTTGCAAATAAATTCTTTAAAAATCCTACAATGTGATTTTCTGGATTTTTTTTCTCATTTTGTCTCTCATAGTTGAGGTATACCTAGGAGGAAAATTACAGGCCTCTCTCATCTTTTTAAGTGGGAGAACTTGCACAATTGGTGGCTGACTAAATACTTTTTTTCCCCACTGTACGTGTATATGCTCAAGCGGGGTTTCCCCCGCAAGCCCCGTCAAAAACGACACGCTTCAAACATAAAACTAGGTGCTAATGAACTGGGTCCTGACAAAGTTTACTTTCCTGGGTTGAGTCCCACCGTACAATGCTCCCATTCAGCGGCTCTCAACCGTGGAAAGTGTCTGTAAGGTAATCCCGTAAGAGTTTTGCAAGACCTTTTAGAAATTTTCAATGTCTCTCCTCCTGCAGGCGTGCCAACTATAACACTAATATGCCTCAGCTGATACTAACGAATGGCGCGGACATTTGCACGAAGCAAAATGACATCCTTTCACAAGTCGCTGGCATAAACGTCTAGCCTTTTCTGCCCTATTACTCACCTGGTGCTCTTACAGCCTAAATATCCAAGCTTGCAGCGCTGCCAGGGCTCCTCACCGGGCACAGGGCCTGAAACTGAACCAAGCAGCCTTTTAGTGGACCTAAATGCACTGGGCCTTATTACAGGTGCAACTAAACGTAAATGGCAGGGCTGTTCGGTTAAAAGATGGTGGCTATTTTACATGGGGACTCCAACTTAGTGTTTATTTTCACTGTTTGTGCATGTAATGAGACTATCTGGATGAAGTCTGGTCTGGCTAAGAACTGCGTACTGATGAGACTGTCTAGCTGACGTAAAAAAACAAACCAGTTTTATGTTGCTTTTACATGTTTTTAAGGACTGAGTTGATCTGAAATAGTTGATTCCACAATACTAACATGAAAAACTGAAATATTAAACAAAAAAACCTCAATATTACATTCAAGATGGCAAAAGCGTATAATATCGTATGACTTGGATTGTACAAAAAATGTCCTGCTTTTTATAGGTTTTTTCCTACAATAATCATAGCTGGGTTTGGTGTTGGCCTTTATGGTTAGGTTAACATTTGGACCATAGGTTTTTGTATAAATTAACTTGTACGATTTCGCCATCTCGTACAACATAGTGACATCTTGTGAGACCAATCTGATTTCATGGGGTGTTTAAATGTCAAGCGGCTGACGTTTACTGTGTATTATTCAAACCCACCCGGCACATTGTGTTTTTTGCGGCCAGAGTACATCGTCGCTGACCAAATGGCAGAGTGCGGCATCTCAGGTGCAAAACCAGGGTGGACTGTACCAGCGCCAAGCGTTAAACCTCTCCAAACCCCAAGCCTGACTCATAAAGCCGGCCTAAGCTGCGTGCGAGAGAAAGGTCAAGATCTAGATGCATTCATAAAAAAGGAAAGAATGAAAGAAAGAACGAGGGGGGAAAAGGCAGCAGCAGGGGCTTTCATGAATGGACCATTGTGATGCACGGCAGTCTCGTCAGTGAATGTTTTCAATTCCATTTGATCCTGTAGTAAGGCTGCTAATTGGTGAAGTGTGTTTCACAGGTCAGCGTAAGGTTTCTCTTTCCACAAACGCACACTGCACCCTCTGTGGATGGCAAAAAGAGTGAACAGGGCCTGCAAACAGCCACGGGTGACCATTTGGACGGTCGCAGTAATTTACAGTCTCGCATCGGTCAGAAATAGCTGTAAATCTGGTTGGAGGACGGTGACTTTCGCAATGGAATCATTTGTGGTTTGCACACCACGTGTCATGAATGATGCTTATGGGAAACGACAAGGACTTGACTGTACTCTGCACACATTCCTCCGTCCAGATGATGTCCTTTTTCGTAACTGAGTGTTTCGCAAGCCTCAACCTGCACCGCCATCAAGGTGCATGTGCACTGCTTTGTTTGCCTTGAATAACAAACAATTAGATTGCGATCTGGTCTTTAAGCAAAAACACACTTCCACCAAATATGCGCCTGGCCCACAGTGTTTGCATCACTCACCCTTTCACCTCTATCTCTCCTCTGCTTCCTTAAGAGGGACTGGAGTTGGATTACCACTCTAATAAAAAACAGGTGCTTTCTTAAGCGTCAGTTGCACGCACATGGGGAGTAAATGCAGAGATGCTACAGTCACTAGAGCGTGCATGAAACAGCTGTGAATAAGAATCTGACTCACACACAGGTTTACACTGCTGCCTTGTGGTTACTTCATGAACCAGCACTTCAAAACTGGTTTCTCTGTTTTTCTAGTGGGACCTAGTTCAGGTGACAATCAATCAATCAATAACAATAAATCACAATTACAATAACCAAATCACAGTAACAGGATACAGAATTTCCTAAATTGCAGTTCAAGATAGTCACACAACAGATACATTTCAACTTTTTTGACAAAACATACATATTAAGGTGCGTTCACGCCATATTGGAATTCCCGTAATTATGAGATTCCAACTTCTAAAAAGCGTTCACGTCCTTGTAGAACTCGTAATTACAACTTGTGAACTGGGAGTTTTCTGAGTGCTACGACTTGTACCACCTGATAGTGATAGTGTTGCCATAGAAAAGCATAATTCCGAATCCGAAGACGTCAACAGCTCCGAGTAGAACTAGTAGTGCTGTCATCTCGAAATTACTGTAATTACGATATGGTGTGAAAACAGCATTACATTATTAATTTAGCCTAATTATTCCCTGATATGCACATTTCTTAACTGGTTAGAAATATAAACAAAACAAATCAACAAAGTCATCAAAATAATATGATAAGACACACCAATCTGCAATATCAAGCAGCAAAACGAGCTGTACAGCGAAAAATAGCTGGATGCGGATGAGACTGGAAGCCAGACCCATAATTTACTAATGGCCGAGCCCGTTCTTATGGGGAAAAAGGTGGATACAGGCTAATATTGTTTAAGACTATAATTAGGGAACTGAAAATTATCTTCAACTAGAAAATAAGATTGAATATATTAAATATAATGAAATATATGCAAATAACATAGGTAAATTTGCTGACAGATACTAGAGAATGAACTTTATTAAAAACAGCACATTCGGAAGTTTTAGTCAATTTAAGAGACTTGCAAAAAGCAAAAACAATTTGTCATTTAAGTATTCAAAATGACTCGGCTCCATACACACACACACTAGGGTGACCAGACGTCCCGTGTTTCAGCTTTATTTTTAGTGTCCCGACTTATTTTGAAAAAAAAAATCATATTTTGTCCCGTATTTCAAGATTTCTTTACGACTGGGTGAGCAGGGCGAGTAGTTACCTTTGATTAGGCTGTTCTGTTCTCGCGTGATAGAACACTAAAAAGCTTGTCGTAGAACAACATAACCATCCAATCACAATTCGTTATCGCCTAACTTGCAGTAAGTGAAGCAGTGTTGCCAACTTAGCAATTTTGTTGCTAAATTTAGCAACTTTTCAGACTACCCTAGCAACCTTTTCTTCCAAAAGCACCTAGCAACAAATTTAGCAATTTTAAACATTTATTTGGCAACTTTTAGTAACTTTTGATAAGGACTCAGACAATAAAAAGGCACACATTGTCCATCCAAATTACACAAAAAGAGGAAACCACAGATTTCTAGCAGTACACACATTACGAGAATTGAGTTAGCTGCTATTTGAAATAATAATAATTGAATAATTTGATAATTGAATAATTGTTCATTTATGATACACTTTGTTAGTAGCTTGTACCTGCGATTGTTGATCAGTTAGTACACTGTAAGAAAAATGGAAAATCTTTCAGGACATTATCCATTATCCTCCATCCTTTGTAACCCTGTAACCCGAAAACACAATGCGTAATTTAAAATACAGGTTAAAAAAAACATTACGGAAAATTCTTTCATATTAACAGTAGATTGTGCCTTATTTTTACAGACTTTTCTTAGAGTGTAGCATACTAACTAACTACTAATACACTGCTTAAAGCATAATTGTTGAGAATGTGTAGCGTTTACTAGCTACTAAAAAAACTTAAATTGTAATCATTTAAAAATGTGTAAGTTTTCAATAATTCAATGTATTTAAAAATACAGTTATTTATATTTTAATATTATATCTTGCATATTATTTTAAAAACAAATCTAAATTAACATATCTAAAATATATTTTTTGCTGAGGTTTGATGATGTGACAATTTTGCGTCGTGATTACGCAATGACGTCATTGAGCAATGACATCACAACGTCATTTAGCAACTTTTAGCAACAAATCGACCTTCTTTTAGCAACTTTCTCTGAAAATTAGTTGGCAACACTGAAGTGAAGGCGGGATAGGTGGAATCACACTGAATGACCCACAACAGAAACGTTCTCTCGCCCGCGCGATCCCAGTTCTGCGATCAGTTCTCCTTGTGCCTTAATTGTCTTAATTGTCAAATACACACACACTTCAAATTTAGATATCATGAAATAAAATTTCTCATATCGTGGTAATATTTCACGCTTTGAACCATAAGAAATCTGGTCACCCAACACACACACACACACACACACACACACACAGTCGTACCTGGCAATACTTCCGGTGTAGCTGCACTGGTCTAATGAAATGATAGCCACGTTTCATACAGATGTCTTTTTGCTGTTTATTTGTCTCTCTGTCTCTCTCTCTTGTCAGCAGACACCATGGAAACTACAAGAAATAAAGCATATAATGTTCAAAATATGCATTTAGCCGAGTCCTTTTCAAGTCTCATGTAAATGTCCGCTGATATGCAGTGAACACATGCGACAAATCCGAATCCAATGACATTATTATTTACACATAACATCGTTTAAGTAAACTGATATAAAACAACATTATACACAAAATGCAACAGATTTATCGTCAAAATTCTCGTGTGGGCCCTCTTAGACCATGCAGATAAAGGTACTCTTTTTCAGGCTCTGCATACCATTAATGTTTCTCTGCATCCATGTTAGTTCAACCCATAATGCAATGGTCCCGGCATTCAACTCAACCTGGTCATATGACCTGTTACACGTCAATTAGGGTTGGATACCGTTCACATTTGAACCGGTACGGTACCGGTACCCAACGGTACCTTTTTGGGTACTTTACTCTCTGTGTAATTACAAAAACATTTCAGTGAAAAAATAAGTCCAAAAGTCTCAATTTCAACATTTTGAACAATAGGGCCCTTTTGCTTTTTTTTCTGCCAGAAATTCTTGTGTTATTTTTTCTGAAAATCAAATGAAGGCATTAAACATTTATTTTAAATCAAATGAAAATTAAACCCTTTTATTTTTTGGCAAACAAACTGAGGTTTACTGTTGAAATTAATACATGGAAGAAAAATTGTGTGAATATTCCTTTAAAACATTTTTTAATAGGCTAATAATTGTATTATTATTTTTTCTACAATTAAGTGATTAATCTGGTTGTAATATTTATTTTTATCATTTAATTGTTTTATTTACATTTGATAGAAAATGTAATATTTAAAAATGTACATTATACTTTACAAAAGTAATACAAGAGTAATATATTTCTGTTACATGTTAAACCGTACTTTTATTTTGACAGGTTGCCATGATGTTTCTGTGTATATACAGTATGATGATGCTAGTTTTCTCAAATGAAACGGTTAAATTCTCCTGAAGTGACTCTCACAGCAGCTCTGGAGATTAAAGGGGTCATATGATGTTGCTAAAAATAACATTATTTGGTGTAATGCAATGTGTTTATGTGGTTTAAGGTTAAAAAAATACATTATTTTCCATATAATGTACATTATTGTTTCTCCTCTATGCCCCGCCTTTCTGAAAAGCGTCGTTTTTACAAAGCTCATCGTTCTGAAAAGCGAGGTGTGCTCTGATTGGCCAGCTATCCAGTGTGTTGTGATTGGCTGAATATCTCAAGCGTGTGACAGAAATGTTACACCCCTTACCGTGTCCTGGCGCGATGAGACAAAACCAATAAAACCCATTACAAACGAGGCATTTGTTGCATCCAGTGGGCACTTAATTACTGATTATAATGACTTATACTGTGTTTTTACGCTTTGCGTTGCGTATTGTGCTGCGTAAACATAAAACCATGTCTGCAGTTGTGATCAGAGAAATGACAAACAATAAGCGCTACTCTATATTGCTCAAACTCGCGTTTGAATCATCAGTGGCAAATTCTTTAAATATAAAAAACGTATTTACAGGCTGTGAGCCAGAAGCGCCAGACTGTCCTTGCAAAGTTGGAACTGCCCCACTTTATAGAAACATTATGTCCTCTTTTGGAAGGCCAAACAAAGTAGTTTCGCTTTCACAACGAAACACACAGTGGCTTGAGTGAGCGGCGCCTGGGGTATTCAACGAAGGAGGCTTGCGCAACCACATGGGCTGGACTCCGCTTCGTTCACGGTGAAAGCCGATCCGGCGATCCACAGCGCAAAGTTGAAAGAAAAGCGGAACATGCAGGATTCATATTTAAATCGTCTTTTTTTTTGCATTTTAATATTCACAGACACTAGTTCATATCGCGATTCGAATTAAGTGGCAGTGGCTACTTTTGATTTATTCGTCCAAAATTGACAAATTCCGTGGCATTCCACGCTATAGAGTAAATTACATTTTTATGAATGGACTCCACGATCCCGTCCGTGTTTTCGCAGAAACCATATGGCCCTAGAAATGTAACCACACTTCAGGACATTTCGGCTTGCCCTGTGTGTTGTTTGAATGAGTTGCAGGGGTGACCTCACGTCACAGGGTTTCTCTTTCTCTCTCTGTAGCGTATGTGCCCAGATGCATTCTCAGGTACCAAAATTTGGCACCGATTGATTTAACGTGAATCGGTACTCGGTAGTACCGACACAATTCAGTCGGTACCCTTAAAAGTACAGAGTTCGGTACCCAACCCTAGCTTCAATAGTAACTCTTTCTTAAAGAACCCCTAACTTTAAACATTTTAAGGGAGCACATTCTCTACTTATTACCTTGAATATCACATTCATACATTTTTTAACAATAAATTAACTTAAATTTATATTAATTTTGATCAGAAACATAAATATGCACATCTCTTTGAAAACATGTCTTTGACAGTTACACACCCACCAAATTACTATAATTTATGATGAACTTTATGTAAATGTTTGAATTAATTTAGTAATTTCACAAACCAAATATTAGAATCATACTGTATATATCTGACTCTTGGTTCAAGACTACCAGATGAACTTGTGACACTTCAAGTCTCAAGATTAGACAATACATCAGATTTAATTGTTCTCTACAAATACCACTAATTTATGAATAGGACATTCAAGAATTGATGGATTAGTCAGTTGTTGACCCTTTTTCCCTAACTTCCTATTTCCTATTTGAATTTTGGCCTTTCGCACCAGTCCGTCTTCATCTGCACAAATTGATTCATTGTGGGGAAACTCTTCCTCCTTGACAATGACAATATCTCCAATCTTTACATTTCGTCTTGGAGAGTGCCACCGTTGTCTAAGGGTGATGTTTGCCAGATATTCCTTCCTCCATCTACTCCAAAATTGCTGTGTCAGATAATGTACTCTGCGCCACCTTTTCCTCGCATACAGGTCCTCTGGTGCAAATTTTCCAGGTGGAGGCAGAGGGACAGAGGATTTCATGGTGAGTAAATGGTTTGGAGTAAGTGGCTCTAGCCCCTATCATTGATGTTATCTGTGGTGAGTGGGCGACTATTTATGATTGACATGGCTTCATAGAAGAAAATTCTCAAGGAGGCATCATCCAATCTTCCTGCACTCTGAGAAAGGACCCAACTTAGAACACTTCTAATTGTTCTGATCTGCCTTTCCCAAACCCCTCCCATGTGACTGGCATCAGGTACGTTCAAAATGAAGTCACATTTCTTCTGGGATAGGTAAGCAGTTATTCTCTCCTTGTCCAATTCTTCCAAAGCCTTTATCAGCTCGTTTTTCTCCCCAACAAAATTTGTCCCTTGATCAGATCTGATTTATCTTACAGCTCCCCGAATTGCTATAAAACATTGCAAGGCATTTATGAAGGCATCAGTAGTGAGATCTTCTAGCATCTCTATGTGGATTGCTCTTGAGGAGAAGCAGGTGAATATAAGACCATATCTCTTATGCTCTTGCCGTCCTTGCTTACAGAGAAATGTCCCAAAGCAAATCATCCCACAGTATTAGAATGATGGAGAGGGGTCAACACTCACAGGTGTCTCTGTTGGCCTGCGAGCTCTCCTGCATGTAACACACTGCTTAATGTCGTTTGCCACAACTTTGCTGCCACCGACTACCCAGTAACCATTTGCTCTCAATTCATTAAGAGTCTGTCCTCTGCCTTGGTGCAGAGTCTTTTCATGGCAGTAATCCACGATGAGACAGGTGACCACACCATCTCTTGGAAGGACAGCTGGGTCCCTCGAGTCAAGAGGTAAGGAAGCTTTCTTCAATCGCCCTCCCACCCTGAGAACAGTACCATCTTGCATTACTGGGTCAAGTTGGAACAACGGATGACTATGTGGCAATTTGCCATGTCTCAGTATTTGTATCTCATCTTTGAAGGCATCCCTTTGTGCCAATTTTACAAGCCTGATGCTGGCATTTCTCATGTCTTCGACATTTATGGGTTTAACTGCCTTGTCTCTCACTAATTGCTGGATTCGAGCGACAACTTTCAATGCAGTGTGCCATTTCGAAAACCGATTAAATCTCTCCAAAAAATTGTCATCATGTGCTACCTTTGTTTGTAGCACGTGCGTTGCCCTGATTTCAGGATCGCCAACCAGAAGCTCTGGGGTTGTCTTTGATGTGACAATTTTTCTTTCCCAGAGAAACTTGGGTCCAGTGAGTCAATTCGAACTGATCAACTCTGACACCTTGAGGCCCCTGGAAGCGTGATCTACAGGATTTTGTTCAGTGTCTATATAATGCCACTGTGCAGGGTCAGTCGTTTCTCTGATTCTTTGAACTCGATTCGCTACGAAAACGTGAAACCTACGGGCTTCATTGTTAATGTAGCCTAAGACTACCTTTGAATCGGTCCAAAAATATTCTTGGTCAATTTTGAGCTCCGGCTCCTCCTTTAACATGCTACTGACCACTGAAGAGATCACCGCAGCTGTTAACTCAAGCCTAGGTATAGTTACAATTTTGGTGGGTGCAACCCTTGCCTTGCCAATGACAAAGGAGCAGTGCACTTTGTCTTCACTCAACACTTGAATATATGAGCACTGACCATAGCCATGGCTACTCGCATCTGAAAAGTAATGGAGTTCGATTCTCTGAACAGTCCCTAGATAGTCAGGAGCAAAACATCTTGCAATCTGGAGATGTGCAGATTCTTCGATTCATTTAGCCAGCTAGTCCATTGTGGCATTAACTCTTTGGGGAGTGGGTCATCCCATTCAATGCCCCTTTGGCACATCTCCAGTAGTACTTTCTTTCCTACTAGGAGGAAGGGAGCCATGAAGCCTAATGGATCGAACACAGATGCTACGGTTGAGAGGACCCGTAGGAAAGAACAATCAAAAGTGAGATCGCTTTAACATCTCAAATATTTCTCCTAGACAGAAATGAGGTTAATTTAAGATCGAATTTTGATTTTTGCTTGAGTCTCCTGCTTCTCAAACTTGTCTCCTGAGACAAAAACTCTTAACACTCTCACAATGGTCTCCTTTAAAGCTTTAAAAGAGATCTCAACAACATCACACACTGCTCAAATATTTCTCCTTGTCTAAAGACACTGGATATCTCACATTTGTCTCTTTTAAAGCTTTAGAAGAGATCTCAACAACATCACACAGTGTGCTCAGATATTTCTCCTTAGGTAAAGACTCTGGTGGTCTCACATTTGTCTCCTTTAAAGCTTTAGAAGATATCTCAACAACATAAAACACTGTGCTCAGATTTGTATCATTAGCTAGAGACTCTGGATCTCTCACATTTGTCTCCTAAAATGTTTATATTAGAGATCTCAACAACTGTGCTTAGGTTTTTCTCTTTAGCTAAATAATCTG